TGGTATCCAGCAGCATCCCAAGAAGCACGTGTCATATGGCACTAGTTGTAAGTTTGTGAAGGCTGTTCATTCCCGGACACTTCTCTGATGGATAAGATTGCCCCTTCTTTTTGACTCTGGTAGGCCTGGAATTGCTTTGACTGATGGAGTATGGAAGAAATGATGTTATGCTCATTACAGAGCTAATCTCTAAGAGGGCTCTTAGTTTCTGCCTTGCTGCTTGAGAGTTCTGAGCTGACAAGTAAAAAAAAAACCTGCTGGACACTCCCATGGAGAGATACCTCCAGGGCACTAGCACTAGTGTCAGGTGTCTCTTACACTGCAGAGTAGATTAGGCAATAGCTGAGTACCGTTGGGTGACCCTAGCTTGGTTTATACTTTAAGAGTAAGTTACGCTTCTATTTTGGGCAGTAAATGGAAGGGAAAATGAAAACCTTCCATTCAAAGCATGAGAAATGTCTTGACAAAATTATTTATATACATTATTTAAAATGTTCAACTTTATGTGAATAGTGACAGAAATTAATAGTTCACTAAGACCTTTAACAATTATAGTTCCTTGAATGATTGCACCCATAATAAAAACACTAGACTTTCCTTACGGGAAAGGAAGATGCCAAAAAAAATTCTATTCCACAGCCTGATTTTGAGTGGGGAGATTTCCTTGAGAATTTGTAATCACAAGAGAGCCCTTTGGTAGCTTTTGGGTTCATATTAGCATTATCATCATGGCCCAAACAATTCCTTGTTGCATTTATTTCCCCACAAATCTAACATTGTATTGTGTTTACTATTAACAAAAATAGTTGTTTTTTTCTTTATGATTAGAACTATTTTATTAGCAGTAGTATTAGCGGCTCTTTAAAGACCTTACAGAAAATGCACTTGGAAGTATGACCATTAAATTTTTAAAATTTTTTTTCGGGGGGGGGCAATTAGCATTACTTATTCACTTATTTTTACAGGAGCTACTGGGTATTGAACCCAGGACCTTGTGTGTGCTAAGCATGCACTCTACCTCGAGCTATACCCTCCCCCAGTATGACCATTTCGACCATAGCACAATTGCTTCAAAATTTCATAAATCCCTTTGGGCTCACTGGGTGTAATTAATTTTCATGGGAGTGCATAAAATACCTCTGCTTGTAGAATCATTTATTTTTCAAAGGAATACGTTTCTACTTTTAAAGTATTTCCATTTCATTCATTCTTCTTCTCTCACCCTGGGGGTATCTTAGAGAATCAGACTAAGCTTTTCTTGAACTGACAGCTCAAGGCTCTCTTCATCAATTAAGTAGATGTGGTAGTCTGAGGGAGCCTGAGGAATTTTAAAAACAATTTAAGTTGGGTAAATGTTAAATATTTTTAATATTTCTGTGCAGCTATCCCACTTTTGTAGGGTTCCGTCTGTGGAGAATGCGGTTTTGCCATTCTCTTTCTTCTGATTCACTGAAGGTTTTGATAAGAATTGCAGGTTAGAGCTGCTCAGTCGTGCCTACGATTTTGAGGCGCCCTCCGCTCACCGAGTCGGACGGCTCCTCCTCAAGCCACGCCGCGCACTCAGCCGCGAAAGAGCAGCTTCTGGGCGCAAGTCAAACGGCCCCCAGGGGGCCAGTCGTTCTGAGGCGGCACGCACTTGGGTTGCTGAGGTCAGACCCTCTCAGAGAGATCAAAGTGAGTTTTCTTCCGCGTAGGAGAGGTGGGTTTGACCTCTTTGCAAACTTCTCACGCATAACTGGCAGGCATAAAGCAGCTGAGGGGAACGGATGACCTTTTCCGACACGACCTTGCAGG